CAAGTATCAGGGAAGGAGGGGAGGAGTTGTGTGTCAGAAGCTTATTGGAGCTTTGTGTTTTTCTCAGATGCTTACCTCACAGATCTGAAGCAGGTGACTGAAATGGCATCCAAGCAGATTGGTGAGGCCATGAAGGTGAGATCTATGTATGCTCCAAGGGGATTTTTTTGTTTCATTTTGTTGTTTTGATAATGCCATGAAATGAGGGTTGTAATTTATCTTGGTTGTAGATTTGTACAAAAAAGCCTGCGTGTACTATTGAAGCAAGTACATATTTAGGTTTGTATTACTGAAGTTATACCTATGAAGAATTCTCCCTCAATTGTAGTAGGAAGGAAGAATACCCTCTGACTTCAGCAAGTGTTTCTTACAGAGATTTTAAAATCTGCAGCATCCAAAAAATATCTTGTGAAGATCATCTCTGCAGACACTGAAGCTTTTGTGCCTCTCAGAATCTAATTAACATCTCCCTCATTGTAACCATTGCTTTTCCCATGTAACTTGAGATACTTGATTTGTTTTCGCAGTCTCTCCCAGCCCTAATAGAAAGAGCAGAAGGTTTTTCCCAAGCGTTAACTTGGCAACCAACCTTGGAACTCTGCAAGCTGCGTCAAGAAGTCTTCACTGGTTGTAATGCAAAGGAGGAAAATAGTGTCCAAAACTTTGTATCACCAGCAGAAGTCACACCAACAGACGCTGATACCACTAACAATCCTTACACTTTGTTCAAAAGAAAAAAAGCTGCAGATACACCACAGAGAAGATACTACCCGCTTCGACGGAGGAAAATTACCCTCAGCATGTAGATTTCTCATTTAGAATTTCAGGATTGGAGATTCAGAAATATTCTCGTTCAGTGTATTCAGTTTAAAAAGAAAAAAAAAACACAAAAACAACAACAACAAAAAATCATTCTACTCTCTAATTCAGTGCTATACAAGGGAGATTCCTTGATTATTTAGTCTTTTGATTCTTTTAAATATTTCTCTTCTTACTGTTACACTGGTGGTATTATGAAAGCCTATATGAACCAGTCACTGCTGATACCCAGCAAGTATGTTTACTGATTAACTCTCTTCTTTGCCCATTTATTACAGCATTTATTACCCTCAGCCTTCGTGCTTCTCAGAGCTGTGCAAATGCTTTATGTGTGTGGGCACTCCTTTGGTAAACTAGTAAGTGCTCATATACAGCAGGCACATCTCTGAAGATGTTGGAGAGTGTCTAATTCTCCTAACCATGCTTCATTTAAACTGAGTTTGGATATTTAATAAATAAATTTAAAATACTTTCAGACTGGAGTATGTGAAACCCACCAATTTTAGTACAGTGTTTGAGTTTTTAGAAAATCCATGTGCAAATCTAAAATTGATCCCTCCTGTTCTACCTCTCAGGTAATCTTCTAGATCAGCACGGCTCATTTGCAGTCATCTTGATTTGAACTTGGAATTTTAATAATTATATGCATTTCCCTGCAGAGTGCTCTACTGAACAATGATTTGACCATCTGCATTTTACCATCTGATATTTCAGTTTGTGTAAATAACTGATCTAAGCAATCTGGGGTTTTCCTGGACAATAGATGTACACATTACAGGATCTCGACTTGGCCATGCGTTTGTGGCATTTGACTAAACTTACCCAAAAAAATCTAAAACAGTAGAGATTAACAGTAAATGGGATTAAATTGAGCTAGCATTTTTTATTATAAGCACAGTAGTACCTAGACATTTACGTAGTAGTATTAAATTAAGCATTGTGCCTTAGCCACTGCAAACTTTTTCCAGCTTATGACTGCATACGCTTACAGTAAGTACTCGTGTCTAACCAATATGTCATGTATTCCCTCCTGCAGTACATAGAGGGTGATTTGGAAGCTTTGCTAACGGAATGCAATGTAGTGAGAAGGCAGGTGCAGCTTGATGTCTAGAGACTGACAGTTTTCAAGGAAGTGCGTGACAGATTGTAGCGTCGTTTATGTTGTGAAGGTGAGCACCTGTACCAAGGCTCTGTATCTTTAATCGTATGTAAATATCTCCTATCACTTTTGTATATACAAACTTCTGTTTTTATACAAAGTAAATTAAATCAACTAAGAAAGATCAAAGATCTGGATGTCTGTCTTAGTCCCGCAATACATGTTGACTGAACAGTTAGTGTATTAGTGCTGTAGAAGACATCTGTGTTAAATTTTGGCTGGAGTAACTGAAGTAGTTCCATTTACTGCCTTTGAACTTACGACTGCTATTAATCACAAGGCTACAAAGCCTCTAACATAAGAGAGGACAGGATGTGAGAGGGACTGGAATTGCAAAGCTGCAGAACGTGTGACCAGGATGGTTTTTCGCACAGTGAATTCTGGTTTGTTTGAATGTGTGTGTGTGTTCTGGTTGAAAATCCCCACTGTTGCACAAATGCATACATCTTCACCAAGCACTGCAGGATTTTGCATGTCTATTACAGTATTTAAATATTTTTATGTTAATAGAAATAGGTATATCTCTTTCAAGAGGCACCATCTCAAATGACCAACATAAGACAAATGCCTTAGGAAATAAGGAGAGCGAGCAGTGTGGATTAAGGGCTAGTAAGTGAACTAATGACTTCATCCTATGGTGCCTGTTAGAGGTAAGAGAGTGCAGGGCAGCCGGTCTGCATGGGTTTTGAAAGAAGTGGGAATGGATGTCTGCTGCCTTGATCTAGAGCAGCCAGACCTGGTTCTATGGCCCTCCTTTTAATCACAGCTGGGTAGAAAAAGAAAACTGCATCTGGGAATGCTGCCCAAATAACTGATGTAAAGAAGAATAAAGAACACCAGTTGATGTCCAGTGCAGTGCCTCAGCTATGAATTTACAAATCTTTAGGGTTGCTTTTGGCCACGCAGCAGTGAAAGATGTCAGAGGACCTCCCTTGAAATGAAAGCTAGGTGATGAACTGAACTTCATGCTTGAATGTTCATCTGCTTTCCCAATGCTTATTAAAAATTTCTATAGCAATTGATATTTCCAACTAGCAGTGTCTGCAATCTGTGTTTCCACTGACAGAAATACATAAAATATTCCTCTTCTTCTCCCCACCCACCCCCCTCCCCTTCCGGTAGTCTTTTGTCCTTCAGCTAACTTCATAGAAATCAGCAGTGTTGTGCAAGAAGACTGTCTATTCAGGTTTCCACTGAAATGTCACAACGTCCAAGCTTCTTATTTTTAACTTGGGGTGAATTGGTATTGCATCAAGAAACGTCTGGTCATTTTTCTTTATATAGCCTTTGAATTTTGTAAGGCAGCTCAATGGTGAAGGATGCTTGGGAATATTTGCAAACTTAGTTTGAATTTTGTAGTTATTTTGGGTGAGATTAAACATCTTACCGTTTTTAGGACGTGCTGCCAAAGGCGTGCATGTTGCCAGGTGAGCCATCTATACCCAGGGAATTTTGCAAATCAGCCTTGTATCCACACACTCTTACTGCATGTAGTTTTTAAACAGAGGCGATGACACCCCTCTTCCAGAAATCTTCATGCAAACACCAACATCTGTTTGTTTGAAAGTTTGGGCATGTGGTGCTCTGGGACCCAGTTGTGACATACGCCACGCTTCCAGAGAGCCATGCTAAATTAAAGTTAAAGACAGCAACTCCAGTCTGAAGGCATGTGGGCTGCTTCAGTGCAGACAAACGTTACTGATATGCTGCGATTATAAAATGTAAGCTCAGCAGCTCAGACTGCTTTCTGGGCTCGTTTTCTCTCCTGCATAGCAATGCTCTGCCCTTACTGCTGTGTTACTTGGAACTACTGTGTAGGCATTTCTACAGATGTACCAGAGATAGCTTTAATACCAAGCAGAAATTTGTTCCCACAAGCAAATTTTGATTTTCATTTCCTTTGTCACTATGAGCAGATTGTACCCAGGTCCAGGAGGACCTCCCTGTGACCTGTCATTCCTTGTGGGGTCTGTAAACCTCACTTTACAAATACGGGATGAATTCATACCAATAAATTACATGTATCAATAAATAAATTGGAAAACTTACTTATTGTGACTTAGCTCTGTTAGATCACCTGCTTGTGCAGCTGCTTCTAGGGTACGTGTGTATGGTTCCTGTACCAGCATGAACACTTCATTTGGGATCATTTCAAAGCCCCACTTGTAGGAAGGGGGCTTTTTTCTTCTCCAGACACAAATCTGCAAGCCTTCCGCATGCTGAGGGCCACTGGGACCAGCAGCCCCAATGGACCCTTTGCTCACTTTCTTAAGTGCCTTGACTTTGTGTGTGTCCTGCAACTGCACTGGATCCACCAAGTATCTCTGAAAACAGTTCTGAGGCTCAGTCCTCCGTGGTCCATGGAGCTCTGGGAAAGGTGAAGGCAGTGTAGGAGACAGAGGCGGGATGTGCTGTGAGACATAGTGGGGAGAAGAGTTTCCCCACAGGGCAGCCCTGGTCAAGCTTTCAGCGATGCTGACCTCAATCTGACTCCTGGACTCCAGGCAGGACATTTCTCCCATCAACGTGAACCGTCAACCAGATCTTCCTGGAAGGATGATCTATATTTACTCCATTTGCAGCCTGCAACTTCATTTTCACCTAAGCTGAATGACTCAGACTTCGGGTGAAACGAGAAGAATAGGGAAGTGGCCGATTTATGAAGATACCTGGGGTTGATGACCGACTGTACGGCAGCGTAGAGGCACGTTCCCTAGCGGGGACGTGCGGTTATCCCCGGGAGTCGCGCGTTTGTGGTGCTGTACGCGCACACACCGTAGAAAGGATGTCGCTGGGTATCTGCGGGGGCACTCGGCAATTCACTTCCTTCAGAGTACAGGGAGAAGATACGCTTCAGTTGCGACGTAGGACGAGTGTTTAGAAGGATAAAAGCAGCATTGTTCGGGCTGCTAAAATGTTCCCGGCAGCGCGTTCGAACAGAGAGAGTTCTGTCCCGGCAACTGCGTTCTCTGCACTCATTGTCTTGCTTCGCCTTTACAAGAAACGTGCGGCATTTCCTTATTATTTAAAGGAACCGGGCGAGTAGCGAAAGTGAAAATCGCTGTATCCCAGCCCCGGTGCCTCGTCCTCACTCCAGTGAACCCCTCCTTGCGCTCCTGCCCATTCTCTGAGGTCGTGCCGCTTTGGAAAGCCGATGTCGCACGTGTTCCGCGGCCAGGAGTGCGCGGGGGTGAGTCAGCCGCGCACACCTCGGGCGGCTTTTGCGCGGCATCTGCGCGGGATTCGCGCAGATGCCGCGCAAAAGCCCCTGGGAGGCAGCGCTCGGGCCAGGACGGCGTTTTAACCATCGGAGGGGCGTCAGGCGCGGCCAGCCCCGGGGCTCTCCGGGGGATTTTCGGGCGGCTCCTGCCCGGCAGCGCCGCGCCACGGGGACCGCGGGCTTCCCCCTGGCTGCCGGGGGCCGGTCGGGCCGGGGCGCGGACCCTGCGGGCGCCACGTGAGCTCCGGACGGCTCCGCCCCGGGGGCCGCGACCGGGGCCCCCCAGGTGCCGGGGCGGGGCGAAGCGGGGGGACGGCTCCGTGCCGCGGGGCCGGGGGAGCCCAACGGCGCCGAGCGCGGCGCCCCGGGGCGGGCGGCAGCCGGCGGGATGTCGTGCGGCGCCCCGGCGGCGGGCAGCGCGGTGCCGCGGAGCGCCGAAGGCGGCCAGCAGGTAGGGTAGGGGCGGGTAAGGGGCGGGTAGGGCAGAGCGGGGCGGCCGGGGGGGCTCTGCCGAGATTGGGTGCGGGAGGTAGGGGCTGGCTCGGTGCGCCCGCCCGCACCTTGACACCTAGCGAGCTGCTTCTATCTTCCAGAGCCACGAAGAAGATGATAAGAAAGTAAGGAGGAGAGAGAAGAACCGAGTTGCAGCACAGAGAAGTCGGAAGAAACAAACGCAAAAGGCAGACAAACTTCACGAGGTGAGCGGGTACGCGGTGCTCTTGGGCGTGGAGTCCGGGACGCTCCAATAACGGGACGCCTTCGGCACGCCTGGGCCTGCCCTCGTGCGATCCGCCCGGAGCCGTCGGTGCAGGAGAGGCGGGCGCTGCCGGCTGCCCGCTGCCCGCTCAGGAGCTTCCCGGCGCTCTGCTCAGGTGGGGTGAAGCATCTCCGCCATCTGTGACAGCGGGAAGGAGGGAGGCACGCGGTCGTGCCCGCTACTCCCATCCCTGTGACCACCTGCCGGCTGGATCCCAGGCTTCTCAGGACTAAAGCAAACTCGCTTTCTGATGCATTAGTGCTGAACCGGGAGAGCTGACGGTGGCATGTGTGAATGCCTCGCAGGGAAGGTGGCGGTGCTGTGCCGTGTCATGATGCTCAGTGGCACTGCTGGCTTAACTCAATTCTGAAGCTGTGGTCTGAGACAGAAATACCCCTTTGAAAAGGCTTCTTAGGAACTCCAAAACCTCCAAACAAGAGAGCTGGGTGCAGTTACTGCTGTACTCGTGTGCTCTGATAAATAGCAGTGGGTGTTTCCAAAAAACCATAAAAGTATCTGATTCTTCCAGAAACTCTTAACGCTTCTCAATATTACAGTGCAGTGGAGTTTTATCATGTCACCATTGCAAACGCTGGAGAAGAATTGCTGTTCTCTAGTTCAGGACGTTTCCTCACACAGCAGTACTTTAGTTGCAGCTAGGGCTCAGCAGGTAGGTGTTGGTTACGCTGCCACAGTGGTGGCTTTGTCAGTTGCTCAGCTTCGGAGGCTCAGCACAGCCTCTTCTTTCTCTTAGGGTGGAAGGATCAGGCAGCAGAGGCCGGGAGGTGTGAGATGGAGAGCCTGGGGTTTGGTTTTTCCCAGATCTCCTCTGAGTCAGCACCCGAGACAGCCAGGTGCTGGTGTTTCTGTACAGGGGTAACCCCTGGCTTTTTTGGAGTCACTGCTGGGCCCTGCGCTGTCCCACAGCCGCTCTGGTGTTCCTGCTGGACTTGAAGCTTTTCGTCACGTTGGGAATCCACATACTCAGATCTGCAGGCAGATCTGGTTGAAGGCATTCTTCCCTAGTAAGGACAGTTTGATATTTTCTCCCCTGAAAATGGAACAGAACAACTGGAGGGCAACGCTTGTTCCATGGACTTGAGGCACCAAGAGCAGAGTCTGAGCTGGGGATGCTGAGCCCTACTGGAGTTTGGCTACAATGATGTGTTATGAGGATCGTGTCTATTTTACTCTTTGTGAGTGTGTGCTGAAAGAGTGTGAGGAAGAGCAAGGGGATACAAACTGCCACAGCAAGGAAGGGTGGCACACATAGCATGAGGCTGCCCAGAGGAGCAGTGCATGAGAGGCATTCCCGTCAGCCCTTTGATGGCACGTGTAGGCTTTGAAGTTTGCTCTGCAGCTTTCCCCAGGAGGTGAGATCGAGTGGGCGAGTGCTGAGCCCCAGGCCAGCAGTGAGGTGAGGACACCTGTGGGTTTTCCGTGGGCTGGCTCTAAACCTCGAGCTCTCTTCTATTTGGGATGAGAAGTCTTGGTGGCAGGGACACTTGAGACGTGCAGTCAGCAAAAAATGTGACATGTGAGTCTCACATCCGTCACAGGTGCTTGTTGCAGAGTATCTCAAAGCTCTCCTGCAATTATCAAAAGCTCATTGTCAGTGAAGCCCTGGCTCAGAAACATCTTGGGATCACAGTAACCAAGGCAGTGGTTGAAATCGCTTGTGACAAAGTGGGGCTTGGCATCAAGCTGGCACGATGCTCAGCTCTTCCTGCTTCTAAGTTCCTGAGCATCTGAACAGGTGACTGCAAGACATGGGCTGGAGGAGAGCAGCTGGCACCAGGCATGTGGTGCCAAGTGTGACGCCCAGCTGGTGCTTTTCCCTGCATTGGCTTGAAGCAGGGCACTTCTTTCCTACAGTTACATGAATATACTCAAGGTGGAGCACTGAAGAGAATGTTTTGCCTATGAGTAAGCTTTTTTTCCCCTCCTTTCAGGAATATGAATCTCTTGAGCAAGAAAATACCTCCCTGAAAAAAGAAATCGGAAAGCTAACAGATGAAATGAAACACTTGAGTGAAGTTTTGAAGGATCACGAAAAGATCTGTCCACTATTGCACTGCACCATGAACTTTGTGACCGTGCCAAGGCCTGATGCACTCAGCAGCTGCCTGCCCAGATGAGACATCTCCTCAACCTGTGTGATGTGTGAAAGTGCCAGTAAAATGGGAGATGTGAAGAACTGCCTGCGTAAGGTGCAGATCTACCCTTGAAGAGGGCTGGACTTGCCCACACAGCTGTTCTCCACGTGTTTCGGTTTTCTGAATCTTGGGAAAGCATCAGTATAGGAAAAAAGACAGCTTGAACTACGACTGCTTTCTGTGGTAGAATCTCCGAGCCATGGTTTTGCGTTCAGAAATATCATGGTGCAGTGCAGCCCACCATCACTCAATGGAATGTAGACCGGGATAAGTACCAGCCTCGGGCCGAGATGCCTTTCTCCCACACGCTCACCACTAGCAACCCTTTGTCAGTTGTCATCCTTTTGTATCAGATTCTGGCTGCTGTTTTGGTTGGGGTTTTTTTTGTGTTGTTTTTTCCTCTAAACAGATTTGGCTAATAAAAAAATGATGGCATGTTCTGTCTTTATGGTGTTCTCCACCTTCATCAATATCCAGTGCCCTTACGGCATCTCTGCTCTTTGTTTGCTGGCCAAATCCAATGGTCTAATGGTAATCTTCCTGTCAGTTGTTTTATTGTTTGCTTATCACTACTTCATTAGTCCTCCTTTTCAAATGCATGTAACAAATAATTTTTCCCAGTCTTCATTTCTATACTCTTCCAAATCATCAGCTCTGCCAACGTCAATACTAAAAACTTTTTCTATCTCAAAATATGGCTCAGCCAACTTCCAGTAATGGCTGCCTGCTTTGTATGGAGGAAAAGCAAAACAGAGTTTGCTTGTTTTATACATTGTTTTAAAGAGCAGATTATAAAATTTATTGGTTTAATGCGCTACAGCCACTGGAAATGAACTGGAGAGTTATTTGCAATTGAGGGAATTGTTTGGATTTTTTTGGTGATGCAGTATCTTTATCCTTCGTCTTGAATATTGCTTCTGCTAATGATAAGTGATAGAACAAGACTGTTAGGCTGAATGATTAGTTCCATATCCACATGGCATGATTTATTGCAAGAAAAACATTGTTTTATTTCATCTTCAACTTTTTTTTTTTTTAACAAAAAGAATAATTATGACAACATTAGTGAGAAATATAGAGAAAAATGTGCTTACTTCCCCTGAAGTTTCATAGAAGTGCCAAGCTCTAGAAATGTAAATGCTCTAGCCTGGTGTCCAGCAAGGAGTTTTTTTCACAGTGCTTCCCAATGAAAGAGCGTCTTCAGATAATAAAAGGCTCCATCCATTTGCCAGCTCTCTCACTTTGGCATTCCTATTTTTTCACTTTAGCTTAGGATATAAATTTCTTCACTCAGGTGGATCTGTGTATTTATCAGCAGAACATCATATGAAAAGTCTAGAATATTTTTTTTCTTTTTCAGTTTTACCAGTTTAATTATGCATTACTGATCACTGCCAAGACAGAATTGGGGAAACTGTGTAGTCAATTCTGTCTTCCAAAGGACCCTCTCATGCTATTGTCTTAGGCTGGAAACTCAAGGTCAACAGGAGGAGAGAGCCTTTGGCTTCTTCAGAAGTTTGCATTAGGTTGTTCCCAAGAGAATTTTCAATGTTTGCAGAAGCCACCTACAGCCTAAATGTGGTGTTCAAAGTTTCTTACGGTCCTGTAAAAACTGAGTCATCATGCAAAGTAAATCAGGTGCACTCCTGACAAGGAAAATGAAAGCTTCAGGACACTCTGCGATACGCTTTTTGGATACTGTCCTTGGTAGGATTCCTTCTGTCACCCTTAAGAAAGGAAGTTATCTTGAGTATCTTCATCCACCCACCCACGTTCCTTCCTCCCCTGAATGCCGCAGTGTAATTCAGGCTGAGTAGAGATGTAATGGAGAAGGTTGAACGTATTGGAGATGAACAGCATTCACTCTGGAAAAATTCATTGTAGCTTGGGATTGTTGGAGACTGAAATTAGATTTTACATCTTTTAAGTATATACATGTAGCTGAGCTGAGGCTGGAATGAAAAAAAGCTAGCTGAGGTCAGGTGTGAGGCAAAAGCCTCTCTCCTGTGCGGCCTCAGAAACTGGAGAAAAGTTCAGCCACCTTGTCCAAGATAGTCCATGCAAGCAGAAACCTCCTAAGGATTCTGTCCCACAGGTACTTTCTTCTAGAAGGAAAGATATAGTCACCTGCATAAAATCCTCCTCTTTATGCACTTATTCATGTAAACATCTGTCCAGAAAATGGCTCCAGATTTTCTAGATCTATTCAAGTTCTATTCAGCACTCCTCAACAGTAAGCAGTAATACTGTTCTGCTGTGCAAACTTAATCCAGTTTCTGCACTTAAGTTTATTGGCTTATTAATTATGTAATGTCTGTGCAGAGTGTAAAATGAAAGACAGCTGAATTTACAGCAATGTTGTGTGCTGCTCTTCCCTGGAAGAGCTGGGAGTCCCGTTGGGTCCTTGTGGTCTCAAGTTCTGTCCCACAACCGGGTCCAGCCTGCCCATTGGGTCTGTGAGTAACAGCAGATTTTGAACCATCAGGACCAGGGCTGCTTCTTTCTCCTGCATTTATTTCATTACTTTATTTTCCAGCACTGTTACTAAAGTGTTGTGCATAATTCTTCTATTTAATGGTTTAATCAAGGCATCTACTGCAGTGTTTTGTATGAATGAAGTTCACAGGCAGCTGAGAACCCTAAGCAAAAGAAGTGAGCAAAATGAGTGTCCCAAGCTAAATAAATCCAACCTACTGATATATTTGTAGAATTAATTTCATAGCTGAATCATGTATTGAAAGGAACAATGTTAAAGCACTGGCTTATGTATCACTAACAAAATTATATGTATCCAGGTTGATCACACTATTTGCAGGAGCTCTTCACAAGGATATTGATTTACAGAGAGTTTTAAAACTGAAAGTATGTTCTGGAGCCTGGGATAATTGTAATGTGAATAGGGAACCAGAAAGGAGAACAGAAAGGAAAAGACCCATTTATTAAGGAAGCAACAGAAAGTTCTTTATCAGATTCAGACCTCTCCTTTTGCAGCAGGGCATTACGCCATCAGAAAAAAATTGTTTCATACCTATAAATGGCTAAAAAAGTGCTTGACGTATTCTAGCTGTAAAATGCTATACCCTATGAATGTTCCTACTTCCAGTGAAATCAGCTTAGAACCCCCGTATCTGCAATTAACTAATCCAAATTCTTTCACTCCTTTGCAGATGGGTGCCCACACCAGATGAGGTGTGTACGTTACACTTACATTATATTCTGATGAAGGTACATAGTGAAGATCTTTTCTGTGTTCTGATGGTGATTCACGTGAGGAGTACTATGAACTGCAGTCTTGTTTGTTCATACCAAATATACATGAAGGCTGCCAAGCAAGTTTGGGATTTTCCCTTTTATGTTCACAATGAAGGTTACAGTTTGTCTACATTTGGTTGGCATGGATTTCCTCTTTTCTTTGAGTTTAATGAAAAATCAAAATGTTTGGTTCAAACTTACACAAAGATACAAATATTCTTTTCAGTAGCAGATGGAGTCCAATCTGGGTATTTGTCCATTTATTTCAGATAATGCTGGGTCAAATTTAAATTGATCATATTTTTAAAAGATAATTTTAGCTTTCAAAGATAAAAAAAAGTCAACAGAAAGACAAAATCAAACTTCCCAAAATGTCTACTGTGTAACAGTGATCAAATATTATACCTGAAGAGATTTAATTAGAGAAAAAGTCCTGCTTCTGCTCACTGATGTTTTGTATTAGTGTCTGTGAATGTTTACGGTCATCTTCATGTAGTCATCCCAAGCCCCACAAAAAGTACACCCTTTTTAAGAACACAATTAAAACAGCCTATTCTACAGCCACCACATCTTTCTGTTCTTCCTCCATTGTCTGCTTGTTCCTTCTTTAATAGCTGCTGGTCTCCCCTACATCTGCTGCTATTTGCAGTAGCCCATGTATTCTCCTGTTATATAATTTGAGATGCTACTTTTATTCCCTCTCCTTCCCTTGCTTTCCTTCTGTTCTTATGTGGTTTGGTGACAACACTGCTAAATGTTATAAGTGTTATAGTAGCAAGTCTAATCTACAGGAGTAATAAATTGAACTTTGCTGGCACACCTTATATATGATTAAAGTATACTATGTGTGGCTAGCTTTGTCAGCTGAATATTAAGGAAGGTGTCTGTGCAGACTTTTAAAGTATACTTAGAAGTGACATAACCTTGACTCTAGCCTACAAAACCCATACTATTTCCTGTCCATAGATGAACGCTTTGCTGCATGGTGTTTGGGGTTTCCATTTGTGAATCAGTCTAGAATTTCTGCTTCAGTGAAAGTGATAGATAAAACAACCATTAAAAAAAAATCCCTTTACTCTTCTTCCCATCAGCGTGGTGATATAATTCATGACACAGGAAGGAAACATATCTGATAAGCAGGAGAAGCAGTGGGTTTACTTACTGTTACAGAGACTAATGATACTCTCTTAACAGGAAGGCTAGGAGTTGTCTGTTAGTAAACCTTTGGTTGCTGTCAAGTGGTCACTGGAGAAAGATTTTACATTTACACACATCATCTGGTGTAGGCACCCATCTGCAAAGGAGTGAAAGAATGTGGATTAGTTAATTGCAGATACGTGGGTTTTACGCTGATTTCACTGGAAGTAGGAACAGTCCTACAGCTGCCCCAGAGGACAAGTGGCACTAAGTTTAGTAACTCAGGTAATATTTAACCAAAGAACAGTTAAAGACTAACTTAAAGTGAGTAATTGTTAATAAGGAAACCACTGTAGCAATCATTCCTGAAACTGCATTCTTCTTTTTTGCTACTTGTTCAGTTTTTGTTTGTTTGTTTGTTTGTTTCCCTAGTTAGTTGCTGTGGAAAAAATCCGTAAGAATTTAGTAGAATTTTAAACTATGACATCAAAAGTAATGGCTTGCCTAGTCTGGAAATGGCTGGCACAGCTTTTGCAAATACTCTGTTCTCTACTTGCTATGTGTTCATTCTGCTCTAAGGGTATCATTATAGTTCTCTTTGGAAGTGGATTAGCTAAACCACAAATGGCTCTTTTGACATAGAATGAAATAGTTCATCTGGAGAGTTGGTACAGAATGACTACTATGCTTCAATTTCACATCTTTTCTTATCCTTAAGCAGCTCCTACATGTAGTCGAATAGAAAATGATACCCTTAATAGGTGTTTTTGTTTTAAGTCTGCATTAGAAGAGTTTTGTATCCATTTGGTAAGTTCTATATATTGCCATTATAGCTTTTTATACTCATTTAGGTACTGTCCAGTTAAGTCTGCTACAGATTGTTTGTTTCAAAACTCAGTTCTGGAGAGATGTGTCTAGTGGGTCAAAAAGGAAGTTAAATGACAACTTACATGTGTTGTAATGGGGTTATTTCTTTACGTGTGTATTTGTGTTCTTTAAGAGAGAAACTTCCAGGCAAGAGCCTGATGGAACCCTGCATGTATTTCTGCTACATCATGA